GTAAAAAAAATACGTTTGCTGCAGTTATATAATATGCACGGTAGTCGCACTAAAAATTATATTCTGTAAGTTGTAAATCGTACGTTTATTTTATATTTTTACTTAAATCTTATTATTATYAATATATTTTTTTTTRATTGTTCATATACCATCAGAATATAGGCCATTGAGCTTAAAGAGAAATAATGAATTACATAATAACTGTGTAGTTACTAAATCTAAGTGTTAATTATATTTTTGTTTGGAGGTTGGCAGCTGTAATGAACTGGATGATATTTGTTATCGATTGAGGGCGATTGCTTAGTATTTCTGTTTATTATATTATTATTATTAYGGATGTTTAACAATCCATATTCATCAATTTAGTGGAAAGGTTTAATAATATGATTTATAATTTCCCGTAACGCTATACTTTTTTTAGTTCGATAATATATTATCTATCGTCACAAATTACTATCTAATGTGTAGTAAAAATCATATTCAGACAATATTTCACTTATAGTTCAGACAAAGGAAAGAAACACTTAAGTCTTTGAAGTTTTGGACTATTTCCAAAAATWCGGTGCACATACTACTTGCGTCCCAGGATTTATTTATAGGTAAATTGCAAGGGTTTAAGGATCAAAAGGTTAAAAATCAGACCATAGGCTCTATAGCCCATAGGTACAACTATACCTTTTTTATAACCTAGTTATAAACCTAGTTAACCTATGTCCTGTAAATTTATTTTTGGAGAATGCACTTTTTTGAAATACAAATAACTATGAATTTATCTTCTTTTATATTACTGACTATATGTTAAAAGTATACATATAAATAAAATCACAATAATTATTGTATATCATTATACAATAAATAACTCTAGATATAGTCATTAAGTTCTTATTTGTATTCCTATTAAATTAATTATATTAGTATATTATATAATATTTGACACGTACTAGAAATAATATTTATAGTTTATATACAGTATATTATGATCGACTATTAGGACTAGAGTGACCAATTAATGACTGAAACAAAAAATTTTTTTTTTAATTGATTAATATAAATAGTGAGTCTAATCTAGTGCATAATATTGATGTATATAACAATTAATAGCTATGCCATATAATCATAATTAATACTTAACCTGCAGGTATTTAGTGTACCATAAATGTTTTAATAACCTCGTTAATTTATAGTATATCACTAATAAACACAATGGTGCAAATAAACAACAATTATTTTATAAACTAGCCGATATATTTTTATTTTTAATGTTAAAATTATTATTAAATACCTAAATATATGGGTATTAAGAAAAATTGTATATCATATGAAAAATACATCAGTGTACAGTATATATTAGAGAAAATCTGAAAATAATATTATCTTTCCATTCATTCTTCTTTGCTTACTTATCTTTCTCTCTATACACATATATATATATATACACATACCTATAAATTTTTCTCTTTTTTTTCAGGGTCAATGTATTCTATAAATTTAGATACTTCTTCAAATTCTGGTCACGTTTTAATTTCGTTGTGTAAAAACATATTAACGGGTAATTATTCGTATAATAAACTCTTTTCTATATCCACTCCGATAGTGACGTCATTTAAACGTCAATATTATATATAATAGGTTATTGCGATGTGGTATTAAAGAGGGGTATAGTTAGGGTATCACCTTTCATCCTATTTAAAAAAATCACTGCCATACCCTAAATTATCGACTATAACTTCTATGTAATGCATTTATTTTTTCTAACTAATAAATWGCTTTTAAATAGAAAACATTTAGTATCAATTCAACGTAATTCGTGTATGAATATAAATAAAAAAAGATTTTGTTTTTGATGTAACTTTAAACCAAATGACCATAGATACATAAAGTGTTTKACGAATGTTTATATAAGTATATTCTATACACCATTCAATTTCAACTTAAGTTGAACTATTTATAGGCATATGCAATTTTCGATCATTATTAGATTTTTTTTTAAATTAATATCGATAAAAATGTATTTGTTAGGTAGAAAAGCTTGAAAATTTAATATAAGGCTTTTAA